TGACAAACTCCAATTAACTCAGGGAGTGACAAACTTCTGGAAAGAGAGATGATGTTGCAGCAGGAGAATTTGTTGGAAGTGCCTCCTAATAAAGTTTAACCCTCCAAGGCTTTTCCTCCAGCTGGGGCAGATGTTTGACATCTGAGGGCTGTGGTTTGAGCTGGTGGCTTTGCCCCATTGTCCTAAAAGTCCTACCCCCTGTCAGCCCAGCCTTGTTCCAAAGCACAGCCCTGGAACCAGAGTCACTCCTGGATAATTTTGCACAGTGGCCCCACAAATCATCCCCTTTGGCACAGGAGAGGAACAAATGGCCACGGGCAGGAGCTCGGGCACTGTCCAACTGGGTCCTGCTGGGACATTTCCTCCTGCTTCAGACAGTGGCCAGAGCTTTGTTTATTCTGTGCCATTTTGGTGGCTGGGGTTCTGTTTCCTTCAGCAGGGTGGGAGACCCGTGCCAGCCCCTGTGCCCACCTCCAGTGCCACCCTCTGTGCCCGCCCCCCCTGCAGCCTCACGTCTGTGTGTCCTGCTCGGAGCTGGCAGCAGGTTGCAGGGTGCACTTGGGAGGAGATTTCCGTGTGTCTTTTTAGCCCTTTCCAACACAACCCAAGGGAAATCTCGTGGAATCTTCTTGGAATGTTGACAAAAACTCCCCGTGAGCCGTCAGCGTGCACTCCCAGCCCAGAGAGCCAATGGAATCCTGGGCTGCATCCAGAAGAGAGTGGCCAGCAGATCAAAGGAGGGGATTCTCCCCCTCTTCTCCTCTCATGAGACCCCACCTGGGTCACTGCATCCAGTGGGGAAACGGAGGTTTGATGTGTGGAAGAACTTCTTCCCTGGGAGGGTGGGAGGCCCTGGCACAGGTTGGGCAGAGAAGCTGTGGCTGCCCCATCCCTGGAAGTGTCCAAGGCCAGGTTGGAGCAAACTGGGCTAGTGGAAGGTGTCCCTGCCCATGGCAGGGGTGGGACTGGGTGATCTGAGGTCTGTTCCAACCCAAACCATTCTGGGATTCTCTGACAATCTCTGTCCATCCTCTTCTCACCAAGTTATTTTTGCCACCTGCAGCTTCCACGCCAGGGTTTTGTTTACCAGATTTTGAGCCCCTGCTTTCTCCTTTTTTCCTAGGGGTGTACGTTCCAGAGGGCATTTTCCTTCACCATTTTATGTTTTGGCTTCAAGGCCTTTAGGAAAAAGCTGAGAGGAGTTTTTGTGGGGTTGGTGGTGGCAAACTGCAGCTTTGGAGAGGCAGGAGGAAGTTTGGAAGTGGGTTTGTCCCTCGTACACAGGGTGTTCATCACCTGGGGAGGACTTTACCTTTAGACCTGGTACCTTCCTCAAAGGGCTCTGCAGGTACCTGTGTTCTAGTTAATACACTGTGAGTGTATTAACTGTGTTTAGCAAGATTAAAGATGGTTTTCTGGTGTTCCTGAGTAAACAAAGTGACTCCTGTGAGATCAATCCTGCTGTGTTTCACTGTTCCAGTCGGGATCGATGGCTGAACGTTGCCCTGGGGGTGGGCACAGGATTTGACTCCAGTGCTGGTGCCTGAAGGTTTGTTTCCACCAATAATCACAACTTCAGTCAAAGTCACCCCTGACTCAAAAGGCTTGGCATTGTCTGCTCCTCCCAGATCAATAGTGGGGAAGCAGTGGGGAACTACTTGAAAGTCCCAAGCCTTTTCCTGGAGGAAGGATTCCCAGTCCTGCAAGTCCTTTAGCAAGCACAAGTCATTGATCTTGGCTGGGTGTCTTGGGTTTTTTCTCTGCCATACAAAGGTTTCAGGCAACAGGTGCAGGATTTCAGTCACAGTAGTGTCTCAGTTCAGTTTTGGAGGGAAAAGTCTCCTGGAAAAGTCATTGCAATTAAAAACTCAGCTCTTTGTGTGCACCGAGATCGTCCCTCTGGAGACGAGTTTAGTGTTTCCTCACAATGGTTGAAAATTAGAAGGTTTTCATAATATTTCAGGTTGTTACTCTCTTACAAAGACCCAGAATGAGCCCAGCTGAGACAAATACCTTCACCCTTCTTTTCAAGAACTAATGGGGGTTCAGACTCTGCAGAATCCTCCTTTTCAGCATTGACAGTGCCGAGAGAAGAGCTGGTTCCCATCCTCACCCTCAGCACGGCAGAGCTGGCACTGAAAGAGGCTTTCAGTGTGCTCAGAATAGGCAGATTCTGCCGTGAAACGTCCCTCAGTGATGCTGAGGGAGGGAGGCTCGTTAGGGCACTGCTTAATTGAGGCCCTCTCCTGAGAATTCCGTAAGGAAGCAGCAGCTCGGCCGGGCTGTGCCAGCCCTGGGCTTGTCCCGCTGCCTCACAGCCTGTGGGACACCAGGAGCTGGGAAGGGGGTGACAGGAAATATTGCCAGTGTTCATCCAAAACCCATCGGTGTGAAGTAGCTGGGAAAGAAATTCCCTTCTCCCAAAGCTTTCCCTGGGTGTTCCCAGCCCCTTGGAGCTGCAGGGGGACGGTGGGACAGGCAGTGGGTTTGGATGTGTCTCCCTGAAATACCTGGACTGATTCTCCCTTCCCATGAGCTCCTTGGCCATTTTGTATTAATACCTTAATGAGTTTAATTAGATGAACATTCATTATCTAGGGTAGGTGTTAAAATGTCCTTTAGGTGGGATTAAACATGGAAAAATCTCGTGTTTTGCTGCCTCTGCTCTGCAAAATTCCAGAGTTCTGGGCGATGTTACTTGTATGGAGGCAAAAGACCCTTTAATTAATTGATTAAGCTTTGCCTGAAGTAGTTTTACCTTTTAATTAATTCAATAAGCTTTGCATGAAGTAGTTTTTGATGCAGCATGTATTTTGACTCTTTGCTCCCAGTTTATTGACTAAAAATTGGAATCGCTGGAGACAACCTTTGAGGAAAAGATGGGATAAAACCTGGAGACAGTCTTGAGGAAAAGATAGGATAAAGCCTGGCTTTGGTTATTTCCCCCCCCCCCCGGGTGTGAGTAAAGCTGCAAATCCTGGGAAGGCCTCTCTGGAGCAGATGGTGCTGGCACGGATCCTCCTCAGGACGGAATTCAAGTTCCTTTCCTGAGGCAGCTCCTCCCGGCGTGTCCTGCTGCTGCTGCCGGGCCTGCCTGAACTTTGGGGGCATTTCTAGGCCCAGCTTAAAAATAGCAGAAGTATTCCCAGGGAGATTGTGTTGGGGTAGAAATTTGGGGATGATTTCTCACTCCTCCACCGGCCTTCAGCCCGATTTTCCTGGTGAACGATGTTTTTCCTGGGTGATCCAGAGGAAACCTCTGGCACACGTGGCTGCCCAGCTCCTGTGCTTCATCTCCGGGGTGGGAGACGCTCTTTTCCTTTTTGTATTCCTGCAAAACGTTTGTGGAGCAAATCATTCTCGTGGCTTTGGATCAATCTGCTGCTTCCCTTCAAATCCCAGCCCTGAAAGAGCAGTTTTTGTTCTGGGTGACAAGGCCGGGGATCTCCCCGAGGGTGGAGGGGTTGCTTAAAGGGCCTTTTTGTTTTAAAACTGCAACAATTTCCGTTGGAAACGCAGCTCTTGTGGTGAAAACGGTGCCTTTTTCCCCTCTGTTGGTTTTGCTCTGGGATATTGTGCAATATTGGGATTTACAGTTGGATTTTATCCTGGACTGGGCCTTGGGAAGAGCTTTTCTGGCCGTGGGAGGCTGCGATTTTACGCATCAAATTCCTTTGAAGGCTCCCTGGGGAAGAGCTTCAGACTTGCAGCTCATTGTTTTGCAACAAATTTCCATAGGAGTTCCTCTGAAGAATCCTAAAAGTTTGGAGTTTCTAAAATTTCAAGGCAAAACTGTTCATTTGCCTCTGAAATGAAAAGTGGTTTTCCCAGTTAAAAATGGTAAAGGAAACCTTGGTGCCCTGGGTATGAAATCTGTCCAAATGAGTGGGTTTAATTCCAGAAGGTGAGGGCACTTGCTGTCTCTGAAGTGAGTTCATTGCCACACTCAGCCATTAAAACACAGATTTAGCAGCGTTTTGACGGATAATTTTAATTTTAATTTTATTCTTCCTGTTTTATTTTGTTTTCCCTGACACAGTGAGTACTTCTGGTAGCATCTGGAATACTGCTTGGCTAGTTTGAAATCAATTTAAATCCAAACACGTATTTTCCTTGGATTTAAAAGTCACTTTTGACAGTGTTGCTGCACTTTTTATTCCTTCACAGCCCAGCACTGCCATCTCCTGAGAGTTTGTGATATTGGCTGTGCTGCTTCTCTGACATGGAGAATATTTCCAGAGTTATGTTTGCAACTGAAATGCCACAAAAACATTTTTTTCTTCTCTTACAAACTTCCAGCATAACCTTAAAAAAAATTCCATTTTAAAAATTGTGATTTCATCCTGAATTGTTTGAGATTTTTTTCCTCCTTGAAATTGTGAAGTAAATTGAGCAATTTGGCTTTTCACACTGAAAGATGTTTTGAAATTGTGCATCAGTATTTCTTTAAAGAATTATCTGATGCTTTGTTTTATCTCTATACATTGCAAATACAAAGGATGATGAAGCTACCTTTAAAAAAAACCCTAATTTTTGAATTTTTAATGTCGTCTAGCACATGAAAAAAACCAAACATGGGGGAAAGCTGTTGGTTTTGAACCTAAACAGAACAGGATGGAGCATTTTGGTGGAAAACTTCTACACATTGAATAGATGCTGAAGGTATTAAAAAGGTGTTGTTTGTGACCACCATCCTGATGAGACACAACTTTGTACCATGAATGGGGGCAGATGTTAAGCCCATGGTCTGTATTTAGCCCGTATCCAATCTCTGGGATGATCCTGGTATCAGGAGTTCCTGATTTTTGGTCAGAACCTCTTCATATCCCCACGTTAAAGGGTAGCACTTACAAATATCCTCTTGGGGGAATAGAGGGGAAAAAACGTAAAATCTCCCCATCTTTTCAGTGAAATTCATTAAACCCGACATTTTTTAACCAATATTTTGTTTCCTGCCCCTCTTCTTTCCCTCTCCCTCTGTGTTTTCCCCTCCTCAGCTGCCACACTGGAAATATGGGGTCGGAAAACCCGAGCCCGCAGAACCCTGGCTGTAAGATCATGACCTTCCGGCCCAGCCTGGAGGAATTCCGGGATTTTGGGAAGTACATCGCCTACATGGAATCCCAAGGAGCTCACCGGGCAGGGCTGGCCAAGGTGAGTTGGGAGCTGCCTGAAGGTGCCTTCCCAAAGCTCTGGTTGATGGAGGGGGGGTGGGAAGTTCTCTTGCTCAGCAGCAGTTTTGGTTTCTTGTCGTGCTTTGGGAATTTGTTCTTGGAATCTCTGTTTCAGTTATGGAGGGAGGAGAGGCAGAGGAGTTACAGTAGAGTCGTGGAACACTCTGAGCTGGAAGAGACCCCCAAGGATCATCAGCCCAACCCCTGGCCCTGCCCAGGACACCCCAACAATCCCCCCCTGTCCCTCAGAGCGTTGTCCAAGAGTTCTGGACATGTTCCCCAGGGTTTGCTTCTGTTCTTCTCCACCCCCTGCCCCTCTTTATTCCAGGAGTTGGGGTTAATTTGTCACCTACGAACACAGAAACATCCACAGCAACAATGCAGCAGGATTTCTGTAGAATCCTGGAATATCCTGAGTGGGAAGAGACCCACAAGGATCATCAGGACACCCCAACAATCCCTCAGAGCGTTGTCCAAACCCTCCTGGAGCTCTGGCAGCCTTGGGGCCGTGCCCACTGCCCTGGGGAGCCTGGGCAGTGCCCAACCACCCTCTGGGGAGGAAGAACCTTTCCCTCAGATCCATCCCAACCCCCCTGGCACAGCTCCAGCCCTTCCCTTCAGTCCTATAAAGAAGTGTCAACTTGCAGGATGTCTTTCCTGATCCCTAAATGGAAAGCAAGGATATTCCTACCCCTTTCAGACATGGGTTAAGGGTGTTTCTATGGCCTGATTCTTTTGCTGAGGACACACACTGTGGTGGCCATGGTCCTCAAGGGCTGGAGGTGGGAGGTTTTCAGCTCCCCCTGAGTGTAGGATAAAGAAGGATCTCAGGTTTGGATATCTCTGTAGTGCCAGGAATGGCTTCCCACTGCCAGAGGACAGGGTTGGATGGGATATTGGGGAGCAATTCTTGCATGTGAGGGTGATGAGGCCCTGGAACAAGTTCCTTCCCACCCTTATCTTTACACTTAAAGTCAAGAAACATTGTGAGAACTTTTCACGTGAAGCTTCTAAATTCCAGTACAACTGGTTGGAAAAACCCAGGACTAAGTGATTAGAAGGAGTATTTCTGTGGCCCTGTCACCACAGGGCTGATGGGATCATTTGTCCTGACAAGGAGCTGTTAGGTGTGGTATTTAGCAGGGCTTAATAAAGCACAGAGGAGAAATAAAGCTGTTAGGCATGAAATAATTCTTATTTCTTCTAAAACATAGGTCACTTACGGGTTTATTACGGTTCTAAAGAGAGCTGGCTGTTGATGAAGAGCTCCCAGGAAATGTTTCCTTGTCCACTCAAGTGTACAAGCAATTACCTGCCAGGAGTCTGCGAGGGAGATTATTGTAATAAGGGTTGTTGGTGAATTCCAGATGTTGTAAAGAAATCACTTGACTTTTAGGATTAATCTGAGCTTTTCATTCGTGTCTCTCTTGTAACTGCAGCTCAGAGCCTTGTAAGGGAAGCTGAGCTCATCCCACCCTGGAGGAACCATTGCCTGCAACTTGGCCTCCAGTTTTTGCAACTTTTTTTTGGTCAATCCTTAATTCCAATTAGATTGCAAATATTGTATTTTTTCATCCTGCTGATGGTTCTCTGCTCTTGAGCCTGGGATTGGTGGCAGCTCTTTGGTTTAAAATTACAGCTTTTTCTTCCACATTCAGCCCTGCTTTGCAGCAGTTTTTTTGTGCAGCCTCCAAGACTGAGGGAACAGTTCTGGGCATGTTCCCCATGGAACATTTCTTTTGTTCTTCTCTACCTCTTACCCCTCTTAAATTAAGGAGTTGGGGCTTGATTTGTCATATACAAATACAGAAATGTCAACAGCAATAATTCAACAGGATTTTTGTAGAATCCTGGAATGTCCTGAGTGGGAAGGGACCCACAAGGATGATCCAGTCCAACTCCTGGCTCTGCAGAGGCACCCCAACAATCCCACCCTGTCCCTCAGAGCGTTGTCCAAACCCTCCTGGAGCTCTGGCAGCCTTGGGGCTGTGCCCACTGCCCTGGGGGCCTGGGCAGTGCCCAACCACCCTCTGGGGGAAGAACCTTTCCCTGAGATCCATCCCAACCCCCCTGACACAGCTCCAGCAATTCCCTCAGGTTCTTTGAGCCTTTCTAGTTAAAAAAACCCCAAACAAATGAAACAAAAAACCTCCTCACAACCTCAAGAAACCCCAAATGTCAGTGATCTTCTGCTAATCGTTGTTCAGGCCACTATAAAAGGTTGTGGACGTGTAGAGATGCCCCATGGTGATAAAGCTGCTGCTCAGGAGTCTGTGCAGCTTTGTGGGATGGCAGGGGAGAGAGGGAAGGCTGTGCAATCCCTCTGGCATGCAGCACATTTCCTTGGAATGACTCTGTGCCTTCCATCAGCACTGACCATCCTGTGTGGGCCTGGACTCAGCGCTGGTGAGGCCACCCCTGGAGTGCTGTGTCCAGCTCTGGGCCCTCAGCTCAGGAAGGACATTGAGGTCCTGGAGCAGGTCCAGAGGAGAGCAACGAGGCTGGGGAAGGGACTGGAGCACAAGTGCTGTGAGGAGAGGCTGAGGGAGCTGGGGCTGTTCAGCCTGGAGAAGAGGAGGCTCAGGGGAGACCTCCTCACTCTCTGCAACTCCCTGACAGGAGGGGGGAGCCGGGGGGGGTTGGTCTCTTTTCCCAGGCAACTCTCAGCAAGACAAGAGGGCTCAGGGTCTTCAGCTGTGCCAGGGGAGGTTTAGGTTGGATATCAGGAAGAATTTCTTTCCAGAGAGGGTGCTCAGCCATTGGAATGGGCTGCCCAGGGAAGGGGTGGATTCTCCATCCCTGGAGGTTTTTAAGATGAGACTGGATGTGGCATCAGTGCCATGGGCTGGGAACCATGGCGGGGTTGGATCAAGGGTTGGATTGATGATCTCAGAGGTCCCTTCCAACCCAGCTGATTCTGTGATTCTGTGGCTGCTCTGGGTGGGCTGTGAGCCCCCCTGCAGCTCTGTCAGCCCAGCAGGTGTCCTGTTATCCAAGACCTGCAGCACTGGGATGAGATCCCTTCCCTTCACCAGCCCCTCCCTCAGCCTTTTGTCGTGAACATCAAGTGTCATTCTTCCCTTTTCTCCCCCCAATTCCAGGTGATTCCTCCCAAGGAATGGAAGCCCCGGAGAACCTACGACGACATCGATGACATGGTGATCCCAGCTCCCATCCAGCAGGTGGTCACTGGGCAGTCAGGGTTGTTCACCCAGTACAACATCCAGAAGAAGCCCATGACCGTGGGGGAATATCGGCGCCTGGCCAACAGCGAGAAGTACGGGGCTGTCCAGGGATGGGCTCAAAACTGGCCATGGGGGAGTTTTGGGGAGAGCTTTTCTCCTGCAAAGGAAATGCAGCCTTGTGAAATTTGAAGTGTTTTGGAGGAAAGTGCTTTTTCTTGAAAGCTTACACCCAGAGGCTCAAAAAAATTTGTGTGTTGGTGGGTGGGTTTTGGTGCATCTCAGAGCTTTTTCTGGGAGTTGGTGTAGAAGAATTCTTCAAGGATTTGCCTGAGAATCTTCCTGAAAATAGTGGCTTGGTACTCAAAAAGGAGCTCTTGGTGTATTAATGGTTGTTCTGGAAAATGTGTTCCATTGCTGAGGTAGAAATAAAAATATCTTGGAGTGTCTGAGCTGATAGTGGTGACATGAGTGTCTCCTGAGCTCACATGGGTGACACGAGTGTCTCCTGTGAGCCTGGGGACTCTGCAGAGCACTTCAGTCAGCTGGGATGAGCCAGCTGGTGCAAACTGCAGTTGCATCCTGTTTCCAGAGTCACTTTTCCAGAGGTCTGGAGTACCCTGGGTTTTAACCAATACTGACATTGTGCAGTTATGGCTTTAAGATGGAGGGGAGATTTAGATTAAAGATTAGGAAGAAATTCCTCCCTGGGAGGGTGGGAGGCCCTGGCACAGGTTGCCCAGAGCAGCTGTTGCTGCCCCATCCCTGGGAGTGTCCAAGGCCAGGTTGGAGCAACTTGGGATAGTGGGAGGTGTCCCTGCCCATGGCAGGGGGTGGCACTGGATGAGCTTTAAGGTTCTTCCAACCCAAACCATTCCATGATAATCAGCTTTGAAGTTTTTCTGATCCCTGAGTGCTTCCCCTGCCTTCAGCTCCCTGTGGAACAACTTCATCCTCCATTTCCTTGGGATGGGGATCTGGTGCTTCCCATCCCTGAGAGGTTTGGTGGAAAGGTTTGAAAGGCACTAAATGATACAAATCAAAACTGAAATGCACCTTGAGTAGCTCCTGCTCTGACACCCCTGCTGCTTCCCAGGGGTTTGTCTGTGGGAATATTCCTTAGGACTTCTCACATCCCTCTCTCCCCCGTGTCCCTCCCAGGTACTGCACTCCTCGACATCAGGATTTTGAGGACTTGGAGCGCAAGTACTGGAAGAATCTCACCTTTGTCTCTCCAATTTATGGGGCTGACATCAGTGGCTCCCTGTATGATGCAGTAAGTGAAATGCTCCTCTTTTATTCCTTCTTCCTTCTAGAACTTCTTTATTGCTCTTTTCTCAGTAATCCACCCTTAAAGAAATAATACCTTTATTATTATTTTTCCCTCATTACAAAACTGAGACTAAACTTTCCACCTTCTTCAGAAGTTCAGGATAATGGTGGCATACAGGAAGCTGTGAAAAGCTTAGTTTAAGTGGAAAAATATGATTTAAACAAATTCTTATGAAGTGGATGGCCAAAAATTATGTATAGCTTGGGCTTTGTTTCTTTTTTTAAGGGAATAAACCAGAGATTTCTGCTGAAGCTCCTTAAAGAGCCAGAAAAAAACCCCCAGCATTTCAAGGAGTTGGTGCTTCATCAAAAATAGTGTTTTTTTGATTCTTAACACAAATTATTTGTGTTTGGATTCGAAATTATTTGCATTTGGACTTCTTCTTTGTGAGCAGCTCCATTAGGATACAATGCACCTGCACACTGAATTATTTCACAGTTCAAATGGTTTAAGCTTTTCCTTGGTGAAATTTCATCCTCTGCTTAAAGTAATTCTGCCGTGGTCTCTCCTGCTGGAGATGATAAAGGTTTTTCTCTTCTTTCTCTGTTTAGGCAGATAATTTAAATCTCTTCTCTGTAGTTTTCTTTGGAGTGGAAAGTGGCTCTTTTTTGGAGTGTTTTCTGATTGTCTGAGTGTGGAAGTGTTAATGTAAAAGTGTCTTTTTATTATCAGTGGGGTTTAATATGGAATTAATTGGAATAAGCAGAGATATCTGAGGCCTTCAGAGCCATGGACATCACAGGTATCCATAGGATTTGGTGCTTGGATGAGAGTATCTCATTCTGTTATAAGATTATAATTACACTATAAAGTAGGTAGACTATATAATATAAAGAATGTATTATATAAATTACAATATAAAATTATAATGTTTTTTAATATCCACATTCTTTCCCTGGTGTGATCAGGGCAGGTGACATAATGAGACACTCCTTCTTTAGGAGAAGTAGCTCCTGCAGTGAACTCAATATACATTGGGTTTCCTTCAAGTTCCTGTGAGCAGAAATTAAACTGAATTACCAATAACACCTAAAGATCATTTCCTGTTCTCAGACTGCTGCCATTGCTGCAAGAATTGAGGTGGGAGAGTCCCTGAAAGTCATTCTCCCTCTGCATCAAATCACTTTTCAGCCACTTCCCTCCTTCAGCCCTTTCCTCCCTGCCCCGGTTTGGTTTTTTTTCGGGCTGGTTTGGAAAGTTTCAAGACTGAGCAGCCTGAGTTTCACTGTCCTGCTGCTCCAGAAGCAGCATCCTGGAGCAGGGAATGCTCCCATCCCTCTCAGCTTCTTGCTCACAAATCAAGTGCACTTGGAAAAAAGGGTGTGAAGGAGACTCTGAGGTTCCTTTTGGAGATTGTATCAGTCTTCAGGTTTGAGATTTGTACCAGTTAATGGTGCAAATTCAAATTCTCAAATTCATGTTGAAGCAGAGAAAAGCAAGTGTCAGATTTAGAACTACCTGCTGCTTTTTTGTGTTATTGATAAAAGCAGGACTGTCATCCCTGTTCTTTCCCTGAAACACTGAGCTGAGGGGGAAGATTTTGCCTCTTTGGCCACATTAAGGTCACATTATGATGTTCATCAGGTGGAGAAAAACTGCCTGGAGTGTCTTTGGGAGAAATGTGTTTTACCCTGAGTTTATCTTGTGTTTATTCACAGAATAGTTAATTAACTAGTGGGGTATTTTATAGTGCAAGTACCTCTTCAAAGAACACATTAGTGAGGGGCTGGTGATCCTTCCTGCTTGTGGTCAGTGCTGACCATGAAATAAAGCTTTCTGGAAGCAGGTGGAATTCAATGAATGCAGGTGATAACACCATTATATCCAGCATTTTAAGGCACTGAAAGGAAGCTGTGGGCTGTGATTCTTCCTGATAAATTCCAAACATTTCTCCTGAATTCCAGGACGTGGATGAATGGAACATTGGCAACCTGAACACCCTCCTGGACATGGTGGAGCACGAGTGTGGCATTATCATAGAGGGGGTGAACACTCCCTACCTCTACTTTGGGATGTGGAAGACAACTTTTGCTTGGCACACAGAGGACATGGATCTCTACAGCATCAACTACTTGCATTTTGGGGAGCCAAAATCCTGGTAAGTGAGGGCAGTTGCCCTCTGCTTGGAGACCCCTGAAAAATCCTTTTCTCCAGGTCTCCCAAATTCCATCAGACTTACTAATCTCCCCATTCCCTTTTTTTTCCCTCTCCTCTCCTCCTCTACATTTAAAAGCAGTTTGACTTTCTTTCTTTCATGCTGCCTTGCTCAGAGGGCCTGATTCCTGACTTTCAGCAGGTTAGGGAGACTTGTTGACATCATGATTAAAACCAGATTTCAACACTTGGGGGATTTTTGCAAGCTAATGCACAGCAGAGCAAGTGGTGATGGGAGTGTGTGGATGCTTCAGATGCACTGTCATAGTGAAAGTCTGTTGTTCTTGCACTGTGCTGTAGGCAGGAAACATCTGTTGCTTTAAAATTTCCATTATTTAAATCCATAAATATGTTTATGGCTCCAGGGACAAACTAGGGCGAAGGGTGACTTTTCCATAGTCAATTTTTGGCACAATTGCAAGCATTTTTCAACACTGTTGGTGCACAGGCTGGTTGAAAATAACTTTCCACAGAAGTGATCAATAGTTAAGGGTGAAATTAAGAACGTAGGAAGTCTGGAATAAGTTCCCCGGAGCCAATATTCTTCTTTTCCAAGCAGTTTAAAAGTATAACCACAGAGACTTTGCTGAAGATCTTGGTGTGACTAATAAATATTGACATTTGCCTGCAAATTAGAGCTTAAATGTCATAGTGGAGCTGCTGTCATTGTGCCCTGGCAGTGGCAGGTGAGATCCCATCCCTCAGCCCGATGAGTCCCTGGTGACACCGAGTATCTCCGGGAATGTTGGTGCCTGTGGGCTCATAAAATCCCTCAAGAACCAGGAGGCTTTAATGAATGGCTCTAATGCTCTTTTCCAGCCCTGGAAACGGGTGGAAGGAGGGGCTGAATCTGTGTAGCATTAATGTGAATTTTAAAAACCCTTCTGACACGTCGGGAGATGTTTCCTGACATTCCCGATCCTTCGTCTCCCTCGTTCAGGTGGATTTTTGCAGGATCTCTTGTGATGCCTCTGTTAAACAAGCCAGGGGCAGAATCACTTCCCTGGACCTGTTGGTCACACTGTTCCTGAGCCAGGCCAGGATCCATTGACCTTGTCCCCCTGGGCACACTCTGGCTCCTGTTCAGCTTACTGTCCATCCACACTCCCAGCTCCCTTCCTGCCTGGCTGCTCTCCAGCCCCTCTGTCCCAGCCCGTGGGGCTGCAGGGGGTTGTTGTGGCCACAGGGCAGGACCCGGCCCTTGGCCTTGTTGAACCTCATTCCCTTGGAATCAGCCCAACTCTCCAACCCATCCAGGTCCCTCTGCATCATCCCGTTCCAGCCCCTTTTCCCGGTTTCCATCTCCACCAGGTGGTGCCACAGCACAGGGGAAGCTCCTCATCCCCTCCCACCACATCCCACAGTGTCCCCTCCAGCCCGGGGCTCCCTCCCCTGCGGGTCCCCCCCCAGCCCTGCTTGTTCCAGGAGCTGTGGGAGCAGCTCCGAGCTCTGGGTTGGGTTGTTCCCTCCTGGCTCTCCCTGCTCCTCCCATCCCTGTGTTAACGGGCTCTGACTCACCCTGTGTGCTGCCTGCAATGGAGGGTTAACACCTTCCAAAAGTAGAAATAAGAGCAAATTCACCCTTAAAAGAGAAGCTGGAAAAGCAGCAGGAAATCACTGGCTGTTCCACAAACCCACAGTGTGAGTAAAACTTAGAGAACAGCTGCTAAATGGAGTATACACGAAGTATTTGTAGCCTCATTTAAACTGCTTTTCTTCTTGCACTTCATGCTGTTTGATTTTTTTTTTGGTGGTTTTTGTTGTTTTCCTTTTTTTCCCTGGGTTTGATGGCAATTTTTTGGTGTTTAGTGGTTTTTTTGTGTTTTTTTTTGAATATTGTAGCTCTGATATGTGGATATCATAAGGATATGATATGATATCATATCATATCATTTCATAAGGATGAGAAACTCTTTGCATGAAGCTGTTGCCTCATCTTTACTGAACAGTGTTTTTTCATAGAATCCCAGAATGGTTTGGGTTGGAAAGGCCCTTAAGGACCATCAAGGTCCAACCTCCTGCCATATCTTTATATTTGCTCTTGTTTCTGTGGGAAACAGGGATTGTACAGAGAAACAAAACAAACCTCCAAGGAGCAAAATTCACAGCACCTTTGTGTGGCACGTTTGTGTGAACAGGTTAAAAATCAGAAAGAATTGGAAGTTATAGATGGAAAATTGCATCTGGCAAATACCAGATTTCAGAAGTTCTTGGGAGCTCTTATTTTTATCTGATCTACTGAGAATTTTGGGGAGGAGCTGGGGAACAGCTAAAATCCCCCTGAGAGGAGATGAAGAGTTCAGTCACTGCTGCTTATAGTGGGAGTAGAGAAGAGAAATCATAAAATTTGTTCAAAATTTTTACCAAGGAGCTCAGGTGTCACTGCTTAAAAACCCAAGCAGGAACTTGCTCTGCACCTGCTTCGTTTGTTGGTTTTTAAATGCACTTTTTCCCCTATTTAAAAAGGAGAGGAGGGTTTTTATGCAGTGATTCTGTGTTTGTGCAGTTCTCTGACAGTCCCTGGTTCTCTGAGCCTCCCCCAGCTGGGGGAAAAGGAGGATTTTGAGGACAGCCCATGTTCTGAGCAAAATGTTTTCCCGTTCAATGGAGTTTTTCTTATATAAATGCCAGTGTGTGACACAGAACTAGATGGGCTGTGACAAGATGCCACTGCTGGTTTGGCAGGGCCTCCCTGCTGTTCCCTTAAGCATAAGGCAAGAGTTTGCCACTTGCCCAAGTCATTCCTTCCTTGTTCTTCACTGTGACAGCTCCTGTTAATGAGTTCTCAAGCTCTTCCCTGAACAAGCTTCCAGAAGTAAATCTGAATATCCCTTTGAGCAGATCTGGAACTTTCCAGGTACCCGAGCAGCTCACCGTGTTCTGGAAGTGGTTGCAGCCATGGCAGAGCTCAGCTGGGGGAGCTCTTGGACTGCACTGCTGGAATTCCAGTGGTGCAGCCTGGCTTTACTCAAGGATGGCTCTGTTTTGCTGGCACCACCTCTGTGGAAATTTCCCAGCTTCCTTCATCCTTTTTATAGACTCTGTGACTCTGACAGTGATCATCTTGGAAGCACCTCAGGGAACAGCAGGAGTGTGGAGAGTTAGGAAGTCTACCAGTTTGGGTTCTGAGCTCTAAAATAAGAGGCAGAGTTATTGTTTGGCTGTCAGAGATATTTATATAGTGAAACCAAGGGCTCTGTATATTGGTAGTATTCTGCTTCAGAATTGCCCGTTAAAAACCATAACTCTCCCTTGGTGTCTCTCATAAATTATCTTTATCTCTAATCCAGGCTGTCTCTCACAGCCCAGCTCTGCAGGGCTGGGTGTGGGAAGGCTGAGGAGCCACCAGCCCTGTCTCCATCCAAGGGGAAGGGGAGAAAGGAGTTGGTTGAGGTTCCCTCCCAGACCTCATTCAAGTGGGTTCTACAAAAAAATCTCTATTATTTCAGAGAATCCAAGAATTTTTAGGGTTAGAAGGGACCTCTGGAGATGATTCAGTCCAATCCCACCTACCCAGAGCAGGTGGCACAGGAATGTGTCGGGTGGGTTTGGAATGTCACCAGAGAAGGAGACTCCACACCCTCCCTTGGCAGCTGTTCCAGTGCTCTTCCCCCTCCATGGAAAGAGTTTCTTCCTCATGTTGAGGTGGAACTTCTTGTGTTTTAGTTTCTGCCCATTCATTGCTCCTTGTCCTGTCAGTGGGCACCACTGGAAAGGGTTTGGCACAACCCTATGGACACCCCTTGGAGATATTTATACAGGTTGATAAGATCCCCTCTCAGTCTTCTCTTCTCCAGACTAACCAGGCTCAGCTCCCTCAGTCCCCCCTGACAGGAGAGATGTTGTGCAGGAGCTGAAGGACCTTCTCATGGGGCTCTGGGTGGTATTTGGGACAACTTTGACACCTTAGTGACAAAGAATCTGTCTCCTGGGTCAGGCAGGATTGTTACTGAGTGTTTTGTGCCTTTCATTCCTGTCTTTGCAATGTTCCCTCTTACAAAACAGGTGCTTTGGGGCCTGTTGGGATTGCAGGTAAAATAAATGTCTGTGGCTCAACAACTCAGAGTGGCTTCTTTCTACGACCTAATGAGCATCTGCTGGGTCGTGCAGCTCCTTGATTAATGTGTGTCTCTGTCACTGCAGAGAAGTGCTGCTGCCAACACTCCTGGTGCTGTTCCTTTCCATCAGCAGAGCCAGGACAGGCTGCAGCAGTCAGAGGTGTCTGCACAGGGTTGTGTCCCTGGGATGCAGCTTCAAAAATTATTCAGCAAAAGTGAAGCAGTCGAGCAGCAAAGGGTCACCCAGCGAGGAGGGAGAGGAAAGGGGTGATGGAAAACAAGCTCTTTTCCTGCTTCTCATTAAATAATTTAGATTGCAATGCCTTTAGTTCTTAAATTCTGTTGTGCTGGACCAAGGAGGAGCAGCACTGGTGTGTCTCCAGCCCTGGTTGTGCTGCAGGGACCCACCCTGCCCCTGGGGTTGGACTCACCTCCTCCTGAGATGATGATCCCTCCTGATGTGCTGTTCCCAGGCACATGCTCTGCTCCACATTGTGCTCACACTGCTGTTGTTTTTAACTGGAAAATCGCTCTGACAGGCTGAAGAGATATTATGGAAGGTGTGGGCACTTCCCATCAGACACCCCAGGAACTGGGAGCTGTTGTGTAACCTCATGTGAAGCCCCTCAGGCAGCTGCCAGAGCAAGCCTTTGACTTGCTTTTTTTCCTCAAATTACAATAAAATGTCCCTCTCCCATTAGGAATTTAATTACAACTCTTTCATGGTCTCCAACTTTTGAAAAAAACTGAAATATATTTCATTTTGCAGCCCTGTATTAAACCTCTGGTGGTGGGAATTTTTGCTGTATCAATTATACATATTATGTGTAATCACCTCATGCGTTCCTATGCTGAGAGCTAAAATTGAGCATATTGTCAAGTGGAA